CCCAAACCTCCTCCAAATCCAAATTCAAAGCCTCCTTCTGTGTAAACTCCCCTTAACCTTGACCTGGGAGTTTTCTGCAGAGACATGCCCGAGCGGGCTCTGGTTCCTGATGCGCGGACAGTTGCTGCGCGCGGACTCTCCCCCACCTTAAACTGCGGCCGCAGTGTGCTCTGGCGAACTCAGCACGTTCCCTGCTCAATTCTCCTCTCCACACAGCTTAGTCCTGTGTTGCCACTTCTCACCAACTTCAGGCACCTCCCGGCCTACGTGGGAGTGGAGCATGGTGTAGGAAGGGGTGTTTCTCAGCGCCGGTTAGGGCTGGCGCCACTGCCCGCTGGCAGCGGCTTAAGCCGCGCCTCGCTCCCTCCCTGATGTGTGCCTCCTCCGAATCCCCGAGTTTTGCAGAAGAATGATCGGATCACCTTTGCTTTAGGCTGTAAATGGTCTTATCCCTCCATTTCCTGTTGGATATCTGCAGGCTTGCAAAGCTGGTCTCGTGGAAGTGCAGATTGCTGGAGTGTGGCTATCCTCTTTCTTCACTATTTGCTCTGGGAGCAGAGAGCCAGGAGGGCACCCCTACTCCACCATTTTCTCTCTCTCTCCTCCTTTTTCATTTCTTATTGAGTTTATTAGAGTCCTTTCCCTTTGAGTTCTCATCAATCTAACAAGAGGGCCATCAGCTTTGTTTATCTTTTTGAAAAGCCAGCTTCTGGTTTTGTTGATCTTTAGTATACTTCTCTTGTTCTCCATTTTATTAAGTTCTGCTTTGATCTTTGTTATTTCTTTTCTTCGACTAGGACTGGAAATTGTTTGCTCTTCTTTTTCCAATTCATTGAGCCTATTCATTAGGTTTTCAGTATCTAAGCTTTCTGGTTTTTGGATGTGAGCATTAATTGCTATTAGTTTTAATCTCAGGTAAGCTTTTGCTGTACTCCACAGGTTTTAGTAAGAAGTATCACTGTTATCATTTTGTTCAAAGAAATTTTTGATTTCCTTCTGAATTTCTTCCTTAATCCAATAATAGATTTTTCAATATAGATTGTTTAGTTTCCATGATTTTGTGAGGCATTGAGTGTTTCTATAGGAATTGAACTGTAATTTTATACCATTATGGTCAGAAAAGATACATGGTATAATTTCTATTTTCTTGAATTTTTTGAGATCTGATTTGCAGCCTAGGATGTGATCAATTTGGGAGTATCATCCATGGGCTGCTGAGAAGAATGTAAATTCAAGTTTATTTGGATGGAATGCTCTATAGAGATCTGTCAGATCTTTTTGATCCAGGGCTCTGTTCAGGTCCATTATTTCTTTGCTTATTTTCTGTTTGGAGGATCTATCCAGATCAATCAGTGGAGTGTTGAAGTCCCCTGCTACTATGGCAGTGTTGTGTAACATGGTGTTTAGATTACACAAGGTTTGCATTAAGTAATTGCATTCTCCTGTATCGGGTGCATGGATATCAAGAATTGTTAAATTTTCTTGTTGAATCTTCCCTTTAACCATTATAAAATGGCCATCTTTATCCTTTATTATGTCTGCCATTGTTATATTTGCTTTTGCTATTTGCTTAAGCTTATGTTATCTGCAAATAGTATAGCTACCTCAGCTTTCTTTTGACTTCCATTTGACTGGATGATAGTTTTCCATCCCTTGACCTTCAGCCAGAAGGCATCTTTGTGGGTTAAATGTATTTCCTGTAGACAGTATGTGGCTCTTGATTCAGTTGAAATGTAGCCTGTTCTATTGAGATATGCTATAAGTGTAAAATTCACCCCATATTTTGAAGACTTAGTAAGAAATAAAAAAAATGTAAAATATGTTATTAATATTTATTATGCTAATTATATGTTGAAATGATAATATTTTGGATATATTGCTTTAAATAAATATATATCTTAAAATTAACTTTTCATGTTTCCTCTTACTTTTTTAAAGTGTGGCTACCAGAAAACTTAAAAATACATATTTGGTTTACAGCATTTGTGCCTTTGATTATACCAAGGTTTTTTTTTCTGTATATTTTGGCCATTTTCTCTACTTTTGTCTTTTAGCTTTTTGGGTGTTGTCTATTATAATTTCAGATATAAAACATGTTTGATAAAACATTCAAACCAAACAGAAATGAAGAAAATAAAGTCTGTTATAAATAATGTTCGTCCTTCCCTTTATAATCCCATTGATAGACAATGTTTGTTAAGCTATTTGGTATAGAATCTAGGATATGTTTTGCATATTCTATGCTTCATGTGTGAAACCACCGTATTTCTAATTTCCTATCCTCCACCTGCAGTAACCAGAGGGCTAAAAGTTAGCTCTATCTTCTTAATGGCTGCTCCCCATCACCAAAATTGTGCGGGTCATTTAACACCACAAGGATTTCAAAATTGGGAGGTAATACCCTCATTTTTTAGAAGAAAGGAGGTTTATTATAATAGACAAAAGCATATATAACACAGTAGCAAAGCACTGCTTATGTGTGGTAATGATATCAAACTGAGTGCTTTTCTCACCTGTGGCTCTTCTGATGCTAACCACTGTCCTTTGCTGTTAAAAGTGAAGCTCCTATCTTTCCAAGAATTTTCCCCAAGCTCCAGCTAACTGCTAGCTCATATGATTTGGTATTGTGTTGGCTGTGATGACATTTTGTGCATTGGTTCATATATTTGGTTTATTGACTCCAAAGGTAACTGCTTCTCAGTGTGGTTGAGATAAATTCCAAGCTGCAACTTTGTAATTTAAACAACACACACACACACACACACACACACACACACACACACACGTCATTGTGCTTATAAAGACCAAGCTTGCTATTGGTCAAAAGGACATAGACTGTGTCACAGATAAGGAAGCACCTATGATTGGTTGCTCCATTACCATGGAGAAGATCATGCCAAATAAACAGAAACAGGTAAGGAATAGGTTTAGGGTGTATATTTGAGTCGTATTGGACAGGAGAAATCACAAGTTCTACATGGACAATGGGAATTTGGATTGAGCAAATAAGAGTTAGTCTAGGAAAAGTTCTCCTAATATTTTTCAGATGTTCTTACTGCGTCCTCCACAGCTTATCTCAATTATTGTCTAATCCATTTTTTTCTCGCTAATTTGAAGTCAATCCCATCTTTATCAAATACTTTATTTCCATTCATTCATTCATTCATTCATTCATTCAGTAACTATCTAGTCAGTGCCTACCATGTACTAGGCACTGATTTTTTGAACCTGGAGATACAACAGTGAAGAAGACTTAAAAAGTGCCTTCTCATATAGAGCTATGTTTGAGGTGAGAAGAGGATGTGAGAGAATGAAGGAGTCAAATAACAACAAATGTAACATTAGGTCATGATGACCGCTTTGGTGAAAACAAAAGAGTGTTGTGAGAAAGTGACTGTGGTGGGACACTGATTTTTCAGATGGTATCATTTCAATGGAAACATGAATGATAGAAAGCCTTTCAAAAACCTGGTACAGGGGCCGGGCGCGGTGGCTCACGCCTGTAATCCTAGCTCTTGGGAGGCCGAGGCGGGCGGATTGCTCAAGGTCAGGAGTTCAAAACCAGCCTGAGCAAGAGCGAGACCCCGTCTCTACTATAAATAGAAAGAAATTAATTGGCCAACTGATATATATATAAAAAATTAGCCGGGCATGGTGGTGCATGCCTGTAGTCCCAGCTACTCGGGAGGCTGAGGCAGAAGGATCACTTGAGCCCAGGAGTTTGAGGTTGCTGTGAGCTAGGCTGACGCCATGGCACTCACTCTAGCCTGGACAACAAAGCGAGACTCTGTCTCAAAAAAAAAAAAATAAAAATAAAAATAAAAAAAATAAAAAACCTGGTACAGGAATATCAGATTCTAAGACGGGAACAAACTTGGAGGTCCTAAGAAGGATGGTTGGAATATAATGAATGATAGAGTGATAAGAGGTGAGATCGAGAGTCAGAGATCAGATCTTGTAGGGATATGGGAATCCAGGTAGGGGATTTGTGTAACAGGGAGGCATCTGGATTATAGGGAGCCACAAAGATCCGCTGGAGATCCTTTGGAGCAGTCTAGGTGAAAGATGATGATGGCCAGGGCAATAGTGGTAGAAGTGAAGATGGAGACAAACCAATTTGAGATATAATAGGGAAAGATCCAGTAAAGTTGATAAAAATGGTTGATTAGATGCAGAAGTAAGCTAAGAAGAGGATATTATACCTCTAAGGTTTGTTTTGAGTAATTGGAAGGATGGTAGTAAAATTTAAAGAAATATGGAAAAACAACAAATTTTGGGAGAAGGGCTGAAAATCAAGAATTCTGTTTTGGACTTCCTAAGTTTGAGATGTCCATCATGCCCCCAAATGAATACATCAGGCAGGAAGTTGGATTTAAAAAGCCAGACTTCAGGAAGGAGTAGGCCTGGGGGGAAATTTGGAAGTCCTTGACACATAGATGGTAATTATAGCCATGGAACTGGATGATGCGTGAGATAAGGAGAAAAGTCGCAGGACAAAGCTGCAGTTCAACCCACTCTTCAGGGACCTCCTGTTCTCATCCCCAGTTGATGATGAGTTTCCTTTAAAGGCTAGCTAAGTTTCCTAACATTATTATTTCTTTTCTATTTTTAGGCATAGATTTCCCTTTCACCTGAATAAAAATAAAAACCGGCAGAAACTCCGCACCTCCTGCAATTTCAAGGCACTCCATAACCTGGCCTTCCATAATCTAGCCATTTTCCATTTTAGTCAGTCATCCTGACATCCTCTGTCAGTACACTTACTTGTTGTTTGAGCCTGTTTATTATGTCTCCTATCAGTTGCCTCTGTCCATGTCTAAGAGTTGAATTCAATTCCATCTTCCCATTTAAATGTTTGATTTCTTTCATACAGGGGGACTACTCATATATCTAAACTATTATTGCAGTTGCAATCTTACATTTAACTCTGCATTGTTTTTTTTTTATTTTCACTAATAATAATAATCTATATAACTATAAGGTTATTTGTACCATAGAGAAGTCAAGTTGCCTAAGCAAGGTACATGGCCAGTAAGTTGGAGAATGAGGATTCTAACCCAGGAACTCTGGCTAGAGGTCTGCATTCATAAGTACTACTCTATTATGCATATATAGCAGATTCAAATCACAAGGATTTGAAAAGACTTGATGCCGTTGACATTTTTGAAAGATGAATATGGGCTGATGCCAGATTCTTAAAAGAGAAATCTCTCTTATTCTGAAAATCCTTGCTTATTCTCCAGTTGTCTTCCCTGCTATTACACAGAGAAAACACAAGTCCTCAGGTGGGAAGTATCTTAGTTTCTTATTTCTTCATATCTATTAAATTTATAACATCTAAAACTATTATTTCTTCTTTCCCTTACATATAAGTGGAATGTTTTTCCCTTATCCTGCATAACACTAACACGATGACCTCTTAGATCTCATCTCCTTGTGTCTACACCTCATTTCCCATTTGGTATAATTATCAGTATCTTCCTTAAATTCTCTAGTCTGTCAATTATGAACTCTCTGAAGTTTATGAAACAAGACATACTATCTCACTTCCGTGATAGTGTTCATGTGAGGATATAGAGTTGTGTTTTCCTTATCTCATTAAATCTTATTCATATTAGAAAGTTTATTTCAGACAACATCTGCTCCTAGAACCTTCTCCTGAGCCCTTCATTCTAGGTAAGATGCCTCTTTTTACAACTAAGAATTTATTTAAATTTACATTTTATTGGACTATAATGTCATGGCATTTGTCTCTCCCCTTCCACTATAAGATCATCAGAGGACTCTACCCTTTTAATTTTTGTATCCTAGATACCTAGTTAGCATAATGTTTGATAAATAGTAGATGTGTACTTAAAATTAATTTAAGGGAAATTGACCCTAACAAACTGAAGAAATGAAATAAATTTAAAGCAGATAAATGAATTCATAACTTTTTTTGACCAAAAGAGATTGAAAGCTTATAGATAGGGACATCCATTTTCTCATGTGAAAAATATTTCTGTCATTGTTATATTTCTTTTAACTTTCAGCTCTTAATTTGTATCTCACTGGTTGGACTTAGCTTATTTTTAATTGTGCCATAGGTGCACTTAGTTCTGAGTTATTGCAGCAAGGATTCTAGCATCCATCACCCACTATCCTCAGATATACAGAGTCAAAAGACATGAAAGTTAGGAAAGAGAGCCAAGACAGTTCATTGGTTTTGGCTTAAGGTTGGACATTTCTTTATTCAGAATTCTCACAATCCTCAAAGTCTTTACTTATTCTTACTGCTTAATTCTTTTTATTCTTAAAGGAATGTAAACTAAGGTATCCAGAACTGGGAAGTCAGTGGTGAATTACCAAGGGGATGTTGTCACAAATTTAGAAAACCAAGAGTATTTGCCTTGGAAAGTCACAAAGCAGGTGCATTTCAATGACTCTTTTGTGAGTGACTGCCAAAATTCTGAAGGAAGCAGAGGTTATTTTCTGATCCAACACAACATCAAGGACAAAATACCATTGAGGAAAAACTGTCCCACGGAAAGTGGTTCAAAGAAATTCCAAGGTCATCTTGCATCTAATTTAGAGGAACAATCCTCTTCAGTATTTGAGGATGAAACAAAAGGGCAAAGTACCCAGGCAGAAGAGCTTGTGGAACAGCACACCTGTGAGCGTGGTGAGTGTAAGACAACTTCCTCTTGGAAAGTACAGTTTGTCATTTATAGTCATCAGAAGACCCATGAAAAAGTGAAATTAAGTCACTGTGAAAATTTTCTTAAGAAAAGTTCAAATTTTGAAGAGAATGAGAAAATCCACATGGTTTATACACAGTGTGAAAATGTTCTATCAGATATGTTAAGGATTTTTTTATATGTTTGCTGGCCATTATTATGTCTTCTTCTGAAAAGTTTTTGTTCATTTCCTTCAGGTAACTATTTAACTTTGAGCTTACACCAATATAATAAACACAAAACATGAGAGAGAAGTCTTACCAGTATAATGATTATGGAACAGAGTTCAGCAGAAGATCAAAACTAAATTGACACATGATGATCCACACAGGGAAGAAACCTCATAAATGTGAAGAATGTGATAAAGAATTCATTTATTTTATTATACAAATTTTCATGTTCATCAGGGAATCAATACAGGAGAAAACCACTACAAATGTAATGAGTGTGGTAAGGACTTTATTAGAAGTACAGATCTAGGGAAATCAGAGAGTTCACACAGGGGAAAGGCTGTATAAGTGTGATGAGTGTGATGAGGGCTTCTTTGCAAGCTCAAAACTCTTTATTCATCTGAGAGTTCATACAGAACAGAAGCCATATACATGTCAAGAGCTTGGTAAAAGATTTACCAGAAGCTTAGATTGGGGTATACATTAAAGAGTACACACAGGTGAGAGACCTTATAAGTGTAGTGTTTGTGGCAAGAGCTTTAGTAGGAGCTCCAAACTCCACATTCATCAATTCATACAGGAGAGAGACTTTGTACATGTGAGGAGTGTGGTAAAGGCTTCAGTCTTAGCATGAATCTTTATACCCATCAGAGATTCCACACTGGAGAGAGACCATATAAATGTGAAGAGTGTGGTAAAGGCTTTAGTCAGAGTACAAATATTCGTGTTCATCAGAGTCCACACAACAGAGAAACCTTAAAAATGTGAGGAGTGTGGTAAGGGCTTCAGTCTTTGCACAAATCTTAGTGTCAATCAGAGAGTCCACAATGGATAGAGACCTTACAAATGTAATAAATGTGAGAAGATTTTTGTTCAGAGTTCAAAACTTCATATTTATCAGAGGGTCCATGCTGGAGAGAAAAACTACACAGACTGAGTTTCATTATAATTTAAGTAAGAAGAGAAATCTTCAAGCATGGCAGAGTATATTTTTATCAAGAATAAAAATTTAATCAATACTTTGAAGATATTAATGTACATATCTCAAGTATCAGAGCTATGATACTAAAACCCAAATTAGGGAGAAAATTGTAGGAATTGTCTTGGTGAGAGGTCACAATCTAACACCCAAGGTAAATCATACCTACAAAAAAAATCCTGAAAACACCCTAAATGAAATATATTTATATGTATATACATATAAACATACACAAAACACAAATACATATACATGTATATGTATTAATGTATATGCCCATTAGTATGAATGTATACATGTACATATTTGTGGTATGTATTTGTGAGGAATAAAGAGAACTTATAAGTTTTGTGTTTGTCAAAATCACATAATTTGCTGTTTTCTTCTACTATATATGAAGTGGTGTAATATCACTTGAAGGAAGACTGTGAGTTTCACATCAATACTACAAATAATAAGGTAATGATTAAAATAAAAAATAGTTATATATGATTAAAAGATGAAGAAAAAATATTCCATACATATATTAAGTTAATCTAAAACAGGCAGAAAAGGTAAAAAGGAACAAAGAATATATGCTTCAAACAGAAAATAGCAAGATGACAGATAGACTTAAAGCTAACCATACAAGGAAAAACATTAAATAAAGTGGCCTAAGCACCCTGAAGAAAGTCAGGGATGATCAGAATAGATTTAAAAAAGGGGTAAGGGCAATATACATAACTTTAACATTTGTACCCCCATAATATGCTGAAATAAAAAAGAAAAAAAAGGAAAAAAATGGAAGAAGTAAACTATATGATGCTTTTAGAAATATAAATATACATGTAAAGAATAAAAGATGTAATTTAATTACATGTAATTTAAACAAATTCACAAATAGTAAAATCAAGAATGTTTGAAAACATATAGTATGTTCATCTTAATTAAAAGATGAACAAAGAATTTTTGAGCAAAGAATATTGCTAGGGAAAAATAAAGAAAAACTATATGATCATCAAAATCAACACAGAACAATCATTTCATAAGATGTAGCATCAATTCCTACTAAAAACTCAGCAAACAGGATTGGAGGGCACCTTCCTTAACCTCATAAAGGACATATAAAAAGAGAGCTATAGTTAATATCAGCTAACATCATTCTTAATAGTTGAAGCCTGAATGCATTTTCCCATGATAAATAGCAACATGTGGCTGTCATCTCTTTTCTTCAATGATATTGGAGCTTCTAATTAGTACAATAAAGAAAGAAAAAGAAATAAAAGACATCATAGGGGGAAGGATCAAGATGGTGGACGAGAAACACCGCCAGACAGAGTGTCTCTGCAGAAAAGACAGATTCTAGCAGAAATTAGAAAAAAGAAGCAAGAAGACGAGCATACAGCGGAAAAGGGACCGGAAGGAGGGGTACCTGAGACCCCGGGAGACTACAAGGGAGGAGGCTGCAGAGGAGAACTGGAAGCTGAGACCGCTGGAGCATCCCTGAGACAAGTGGGAAGGGTAGGTGGATAAGTCACCTTTCCCCTCTCCTGCATTCGGGACTGCTGGTGGGCTCCCCAGTGGGTGGAGAGACCTGCGGACACCAGCCCAGAGACCGCCGCCGCCAGCTAGTGGTGAGCCTGTAGCGGACGTGGCACCAGGCTCCCAACTCCCAACTCCCTCTGGGCACCTCCATGTGCACAGACCCGAGTGGCGCGGCAGACGCCATATTGCCTCCTCCTCCCTTTACTATAGCCCCAAAGAAAGTTAAATATCTAGGAGTATACTTAAGGAATGATACAAAAGATTTATCCAATGAGAACTATGAAACACTAAAAATAGAAATTGCAGATGATTTAAACAGATGAAAAAATCTAGCTTGTTCATGGATTGGTAGAATCAATATCATTATAATATCAATATTAGCTAAAAGTATCTACAGAATCAATGCAATCCCCATCAAAATACCACCAGCATTCTTTACAAATCTAGAAAAAATAATCTTTACTTTGTATGGAACCAGAAAAAAACCTTGTATATCCAAAGAAATCTTAAGTAAAAAGAACAAACTGGGAGGCATCAGTCTTCCTGACTTCAAGCTGTATTATAAATCAATAATAGTTAAATCAGCCTGGGACTTGCACAAGAACAGAAGCATGGATATCTGGAATTGATATGAGACACCAGAGATGAAACCATCAGTACACAGTAACCTAATCTTTGATAAAGCTGACAAAAACATAAAATGGGGAAAATAATCTCTCTTCAATTAATGGTGCTGGGAAAACTGAATAGCTACATGCAGAAGAGTGAATCAAGATCCCTTCCTCTCACCTCTCACAAAAATTCACTCAAGATGGATAACAGACTTAGACCTAAGGCATGAAACCTTATGAATCCTAGAAGAAGATGTTGGGAAAACCCTATAAGACATTGGTGTAGGCAAAGAATTATTGAGGAAGACCCCCAAGGCAATTGCTGCAGTATCAAAAATAAACCAATGGGATCTGATCAAATTAAAAAGTTTATGCACAGCCAAGGAAACTGTCAGTAGAGCAAATAGATAACCCACAGAGTGGGAGAAAATATTTGCTCTCTACATCTCTGATAAAGGTCTAATAATAAGAATCTATCTAGAACTTAAAAGAATTAACAAGAAAAAAATCAAACAATCCCATAAAGAAATGGGCAATGGAAATGAACAGAAACTTCTCCAAAGAAGATAGAATAATGGCCTGCAAACATATAAAAAAATGCTCAACATCTCTGATCATCAGAGTAATGCAAATCAAAACCACAATGAGATACCACCTAACACCAGTGAGAATGGCCTATATCAAGAAATTCCAAAACAACAAATGCTGGCGAGGATGCAGAGAGACAGGAACACTCTTACACTGCTAGTGGGACTGCAAATTAATGCAATCTTTGTGGAAAATAATTTGGAGATATCTCAAACAGCTAGAAATAGAAATACCATTCGACCCAGCTATAGCATTGTTGGGCATCTACCCCAAAGAGCATAAGACATTCTATTATAAAGACATCTTCACCCGAATGTTTATAGCAGCACAATTCACTATTGCATGGTCATGGAAACAACCCAAATGCCCGTCAATTCATGAGTGGATAAGTAAAATGTGGTATATGCTCACAATGGAATACTACTCAATTCTAAGAAATGACAGTGAACTATCACCGTTTATGCTATCGTGGATTAAGCTTAAGCCCGTTATCCAAAATGAGGTGACACAAGATATGGAAAATGGGCTCCACATCTACTCACCATAAAACTGGTACTGACTGATTAAAATTATGGTGCTCAAATGGTCATAATGTTCACCAGGGATTCGGGGGAGGGAGACCCACATCTTAGGGATGTGGTGAGCATTGTGGGGGGGGGGAAGGGTTAGAGGGCATACCTCTAACCCTTCTTAGAGAGAAGCAAAGATATACAATGTAACCAATCTGTCAAAAAAACAAAAGAAAACAAAAAAAACTTTTACTGGGTGGTGAGCAGGTGGGAAGGGGGAGGAGAAGAATGGTGTATACTTACATAATGGGTGTGGTGTGCACCACCTGGTGATTGTACACGCTTGAAGCTCTGGCACGTCTTGGGAGGAGAGGTTGCAGGGGCAATATATGTAACCCTAACAATATTTGTACCCCTATAATATGATGAAATAAAAGAAAGAAAGATCCACATACAGTTAGTATCTCACAACACAGATATGTACTCTTAAAACATATTTTATATTGACAAGAAAAATAAATGGCAATTGAGAATAGACAATGTATTAAATAAAAAAGGGTCAGAAATGATATGAAAAAATGCAAAAATTCGGTAGTAATAAAAATATAATGTAAAAACATGAGCTGTAATTTACTGCAGGTACTTACATGTATTATTGATAGAAAAATAAACTTGTATTGCCCTCTAAAAATGTTTTTAACAATATGGTAACAAAAGCTTTAAATTATCTGTAACCTCTGTTACAAAAAGTTCATTTTCTAAGGATTTTATATGAATATATGACTTAATAAATGTGTAAGACATGTACAAGGATGCTTAAGTCCACATCATTTGTAATGGCAATAAACTGGCAATAAATTAAATGTCCAGTCACAGCTATCTAATTTAATCAGTAATGATAAACCTATAAAATTGAATTCTGATCAGTTATTTTCTATTATTACTAATATTTATTATATATATATATCATATAATAAAGACCACATAGCATAAGTGCATGTGTTATCTCTTTCCAAGGGATGAGATAATTTAAGTTTTATTTTCTGTTTATTTGTATTTTTTTAAAATTTCCACAAATATTTTTATTATTCACAAAGTCAAATTTAAGAATTGGAAGATTAAACTGGTAAAGTATAGCAGAAAGACTAAAACGAAATTTAATCATGAAGAAATTATGAAAAATGTGCAAGGTAATAGTAAGTTTCTTACAGAGTATTTACTTCTGTTTGGTTATTAAATGAAAACTTGCCCATTGTGGATAGTTTTGAAAGAAAATGAAGAAGAAAAGAAAAATCATTTGTACTTCAAATGCCAGCAATCCCTATCCTTCACAGTTTGAAGTGTTTCCTCTTGTCTTTGTCTGCATGGTGCTCAATAGATGTTTGTTAAGCAAATGAGGGCAAGTGAAACAAAATACACAGGGATATCAGAATAAATGTGCTGAAGTTGAAAGGAAAGATAGAAATAGCAAATTTTAAAGAATGCTCAATTGGAAAGTAAGGAGAAAAAATGTACTTAATAGCATATTATAATAATTGCATTTAAAAGTGATAGACCAATGCTTAACAAATGCTATTTCATTTAAATGTTTCCATCTATTGCATTTATGAATCTAAGTATAGATAAAATTTCACATCTTTCTTTACTTAATGCACTATCCCATAATATTACAATTTTCTGTGAATATAATGTTAATAATAACATTATAATTTTTCAATATTTGGATGTGCAATAATTTGTGTAAGTGATGCTGTGATATTGAAATAAGTTACTAGTATAATAACATCAAAGGAACAGGCTTGTTCATGACTCATTCTCTATACCTCTACTATATCTACTAGAGGGGGCCCTGTCCAGAGAATGCTTAAAATGAAGGGTATTATCATTAAAACTCCTGATGCATGCGGCTGGACTTCTTTCCAGAAAGTCTTAACCAATTCTTACTCTCAAACAGTGAGATATGATAATCTCCATTGTGTTTATTTATATTTTTAGGAAGAAAAACATATGAAGAATTGAGTGACTGAAGAGAAGGGACTGTGAAAGAGAAGGACAAGCATGACACAGTGGGATAGCATTGTCATGCCTCAAAGTTACAGAAAATAGATGGCTGAGAGAAGAGATGGGAGAGAAGAGCTGGGTAAGAAGCTTGAAAACGAAATGAAATGTGAAGCTAATTAAGGAAGAACACATCTGCTCCGAGAAATACTGCATTTCTCTGAAAATAAGACAGGGTCTTATATTTATTTTTCCTCAAGAAGACACCCTAGGACTTATTTTCAGAGAATGTGTTATTTTTTTTTTAAAGTATGGTACAACCATCTACATTTATTCAAATATAGTTAAGTCATCTCTTCTGGAATATCATCATAACTCTCCAAACCCAGAATTCCATCCTGAATTTCTTGCGACTCTATTTCCTTTAGAACCATTGGCCCCAATCTCTCATGTTGAGCAATAGAGCTCTCATTAAATGAGCAGCTCTTATGTCACCTGCTCAGAGTGCATTGGTAACAACACTTTCAGTGATTTTATCCCATTAATTTTTTACCCAAATCAAGACCTCTTGCAGTCTAGGCTTCACAAAGTTTCCACGCTGATTTCTTGTCATTCTATTTTCAATGTAGTCATTAATTCCATGCACAAATGGTCTTTGAATGGCTCGTTTATTGCAATATCAAGGATCTGCAGATAGGCAGTCATTCCTGCAGGAATCATTATTTGATCTATTCTTCTCTCTTCAAGGAAGTTCTCCATGTATTTACCATGGTGAGTGCTGGCTGAATCCCAGACTAGCAGACCTCTTTGGCCACCTCACAAAACAAGTGGCAGCATTAAATCAAGCCACTTCCTTATAACTGCTTGTATGCACTAGACTCTTTTGGTTTCAAGAACATAAATGTTGGAAACATATTCAATCTTATCTTTCTTGCCCTTAGTGGTGATAAGAGGTATGACCTTCTTTCCATCCAGATGAATTGCCAAAATACAGGTAACGCGGGAACTTTCATGACCAGTGGAGAGAACATAAATTGAGGAGGCACCCCTTTGTTCAATTGTCATTTGGGCTCCTTGACACATAAACACTGCAGCTTCATCCATAGTGATCATGTTGCAAAGTTTGTATTTAGAAAAGTCGATGCCATCAACAAGGGACTTGAATGCAAGTGCTCGCTTAATAACTTCAGCATCTTCCAAATTAAACAGTGTTGTCGATTTTCAAAGCCTTTGTTCTCCTGTCAGCAATCCATTCACCGATCATGTCTTCCAGCTCAGGAAGTAAAGGTTGCCTACCTGAACCACACTTGCACTTCTTAGCATTTCCTCTATTCACATGTAGACTGAGGTTATCATATTCTGCCTGTCATTTTCAGACCATTTGGATATCCAGCTTCTTCTCTTTGCAGAAAGCCGTAAGATTCTTGCCCTTGGAGTCCTCCACAATTTCTTTCTTGTACTCAACAGAATAGCTCTTTCTTTCTGCATTCATGTTGTCTGGGGGTACAGATACTCATGAAAAGCAGAAATAGGCCAGCATAGCTGGTGTGTAAAGGCTGCCTTATTTATCAGAGATCCAGTGAGCACTGGGTCCAATCTACACAGTGGAGCAGAAATGATCTCTCTGGGCTCAGTAGGAGACTGCTTGCTGAAGCTTTCCCCCTATCCCCTTGTGTTTGTGGGGGGTGAGAGTGGCCCACAGTGTGGCGTAAAATGCCAGCCACAGATTTCCTTCTTCCCCCTGGGGACACACAATACCTAGAGCGGAGCATCCCGCTCCTCACTTCACTTAGGAGGCTTTTCCCTCACAGCCTCAGCTTGCACAGTATGTTCAGGACCTTAAAAGGGGAGCCAAATTTGTTGGTGGGGCTGCCGACACCTTTCCAGTCACCTATGGGATAGTAGCTGTCACTATGGGGCAGATGAGAGGGGCTGCTCATCTTCTTCACCGCTCAGCAAAGAAATGCATGAATCCTGCAGACACACTGCATAGGCACACCCATCCCTAGGTCTTATTTTTGGGGTAGGGCTTATATTGCGCAAATGCTTAGAAATCTTGCTGAGGCATATTTTATCGGTAGCTCTTATTTTCCTGGAAACAGGTACCTGTCCTGGGAGCATGCGCATGAGCATGCGCACTCGCCTCCAGCGAGGAGACAAGCACTTTGTCCCAGCAAGCACTTGGGGGCACTACCGGCCCAGCTCTGCCAATCTTACTGATCCACTCAGCCAGCCGCTTAATTCTACTCCTGCGCAAAATTCCTCCAACTTGCAGGGCCTGGGCCGGTTCGGAGAACAGCCCGGCCCAAGTAACCTTCGACTCAGGGTCATTCGACTTCCCAGAACTCTGTCAGGGTGACTGGAAATGGAATACCTTGTGCAGACATACTATGTACTACAGTCCCCACAATGCCACGGGGCATACTTCCGTTTCCGCCAGCGCCTGGCCTCAAGACCCCAAGGCTGGGAGCAGCCACGCTGTGATGTGCGGGGTTTCCCCACACGGAGTTCGGGTTGTGCCTTTTAATTCTTGAAATTCCGTTGTTTATCCTTTGCCAACATCTTAAGGGGAAAAAATTTGGATTTTTTTGCTGTTTAAATATGTACTCGAGCGCTTCTTAGCATTTAATGAGATTGAGTGTTCATTCATATTCTTACTGGTTATGTATATATATGTTTTTCATAGTATTTCCTCATGTTTCTATGCAGGCTTTTGCTTCCTATATTTAAGTATAGACTTTGTGTACACAAATATGTTCATTTTCTTTGTTTTCTTTTATTCTATGGCTTAATACCCAATAAACAGCCTAATTTTTTTTTTAATTTTTTTTTATTTTGGCATATTATGGGGGTACAGATTTTAAGGTTTCAATAAATGCCCATTTCCCCCCCTCCCCCCAAAAGTCTGAGTCTCCATCATGACCATCCCCCAGATGGTGCACATCTCACTCACTATGTATGTATATACCCGCCCTCCACCACTGCCCAATACCTAATTACTGTAGCACCTATGTGTCCACTTAGGTGCTACTCCCAGTTAATACAGTTTGCTGTAGAAGATACTCTGGTGCTTGTTTTTCCATTCTTGGATACTTCACTATAGTATGGGTTCCAGCTCTAACCCAGGAAAATATAAGGTGTGCTATATCCCACCATTGTTTCCTTAGAGCCTGAATAGTACTCCATGGTGGACATATACCACATTTTATTAATCCATTCTTGGATTGATGGGCACTTGGGCTGTTTCACAGCCTTCGCAATTATGAATTGTGCTGCTATAAACAATTCAAAGTGCAGGTTCTTTTTTGTAGAGTGTCACTGGATCATTTGGGTAGATGCCCCAGCAATGGGATTGCTGGATCAAAATGGTGATTCACTTGTATCCATTTAAGGTATCTCCATCATTGCTTTCCACAGAGGGTTGAACTAGTTTGCAGTCCCCACCAGGCAGTGTGGAGGTTTCCTTCCTCTCCCGCAACCACGCCAGCATTTATTGTTTGGAGATTTTTGATAAAGGCCATTCTCACCTGGTTAAGTGATATCTCATTGTGGTTTTGATTTGCATTGTCCCTGGATGATTAGAGATTTGAGCATTTCTTCATATGTTTGTTGGCCATTCTTCTGTCTTCCTAAAAATTTCTGTTCAAGTCCTTTGCCACCTTTTTAATGGGTTATTTGATTTTTTCTTCCTAATTTTTCGTGAGTTCTAAGTATATTCTAGTTATCAGTCCTTATCAATGGCATAGGATGCAAAAATTTTCTCCCCATTCTGTAGGTTGTCTGTTTACTTTCATGACTATTTCTTGGCTGTGCCAGAAGCTTTGTAAGTTTGATCATGTCCCATTTATTTATTTTGTTGCTCTGTGATTGCCTTTGGGGACTTCTTCATAAACTCTTTGCCCAGGCCGATGTCTAGGAGAGTGTTTCCAACTTTTTCCTCTAGAGTTCTAATAGTTTATATCTTAGGTTTAAGTCTGTATCCAGCGTGAGTTGTTTTTGTGAGAGGTGAAAGGTGTGGGTCCTGTTTTAGCGCTTCTACAGTGGCTATCCAGTTTTCAGCACCACTTTATTGAAGAGGGATTCTTTTCCCAGCGTATGTTTTGTCTGCTTTGTCAAAGATGAAATGGCTATATGAGGATGGTTTTATATCAGGATTCTCACATCTGTTCCACTGGTCAATATTCCTGTTTTTGTGCCAATACCATATTGTTTTAATTACTACAGCTTTGTAGTATAGTTTGATATCTGGCATATTAATGCCTCCCATTTTGTTTTTGTTGCCTAGAATTGCTCTTGATATTCGGGGTCTTCTTTGGTTCCATACAAGCGTAAAATTATTTTTTCTATATCTGTGAAGAATGCTGATGGGATTTTAATAGGTATTGCATTGAATCTGTAGATCAGTTTGGGTAGTATAGACATTTTGATGATATTGAGTCTGCCGATCCACGAGCATGGAATGGATTTCCATCTGTTTACATCCTCTGCTATTTCCTTCCTCAGTGTTTCATAGTTCTCCCTGTAGAGGTCTTTTACCTCTTTGGTTAAATATATTCCTAGGTACTTTAATTTCTTTGTTGCTATTGTGAAGGGAATTGAGTCTTTGATTTGGTTCTCAATTAGATTGTTGTTGGCGTATATGAATGCGTTCATATACGCCAACAGCCTAATTTTAACTGCTTAAAATGATATTTATTTCGTTGCTGTTGGTTTGAGCTATCCCTTTGTTTTAACTATTATCAAGTGTATTTTAAATATTTTCTTTATTATTCTTGTGGAATTTATTTTTATATAACATATACTTCTAATATTGTTATAGAAAAATAGAAACTTCTTAAAGAAAATAAAATCTGAGGATTCTAAAGTCTGCAGTGCTCTGCCAACCCAAGTTGGTGTGAAACTGACTAGAGAGACCAAGAAAAGAAGACTGGCTTGAGGTTTCTACGTTGGTTAGTGTATGGGGCCTAGGTAAAGATTTCCATGCATTCTTTCAGCTCTTCACCACTTGCCCAGATGGGAGATGGGAGGGGAATATCTATCACAAGAAAACATAATAAAAAAAATATAGATTATTTATTACAGCACCAGCAGACTTTAACCAAAGGAAAATGTAAAATATGTACATTTAAGGCAGAAGGAAAT